TGGGAAAGGAGGAAAGGATGCCAAGGGAAAATCCAAAGGCTCCTTAGATCAAAACTGAAAACATGTTTCATGACAAAGGCTCCATAAGCCTCCATAAGGCTCCCAATGCCCCCTAAGGCAAGCGAGATGCTGAGGGCAACAAAGTTGGACGGGGAATAGGTGTCTTGGCAGAAGGAAGTCCAGGGTTTGCTTTTGTTTCTTGCTTGTTGTCCTTCCATTGCTACTAGGTTGGAGGCCATCGCTATTAGGTTGGAGGCCATTGCTATTGGGTTGGAGGCCTTTCCCTTTGGGTTGGAGGCCATCGCTTGTTGTCCTTGAGGTGACGGCAGCACAAAGTTGAAAGATGATCAGTTTTGCACTGTCACAGTGACGGGAGATACCGCTCTGAAGGAGAGCCATAGAATGCTTCTTGCGTTGTTCCACTTGTTGTACGTATGTCCGCAAACTATAGATGTTCGAAAAATTACAAACGATATCAATACTATTAAGATACAGAGAGATAGACATAGGCGAGGTTCCTTAACTTTTAACCCCGATGCGAATAACTTTCAACAGGAAACACAAAAGTATCTACAGGGACACCAGCTACGTTCATGTAACGCATTGGGGAGAGGCGTGATCGCAACAGTTCCTTTGACCCTGGTCGATGTGATCGTGCAGATTTCAATGTTTGTCCGTCAAGATGCGTGCCTTACTTGTGCAAAGCTAGCGCGGCGAGTCGCTTCTAGCTCCAGGTTCAGGACTGGCGTGTGGTCGCTGTGCCCTGCGGTTTGGCGCAGTCTCAGTGGAAAGTCCGCTTTCATGGCTACGTACCGTTGGGGAAGGGGAATGTGGAGGCCATCGCTTGTAGGTTGGAGGCCATCGCTTCAAGGTTGGAGGCCGACGCTAGTAGTAGAGTTGGGAAACATCATGCGTGTAAACGTGGTGTATTGCTTGTGAGCGGTGATTGGTGGGCGGCTGCTGAGTGTTATGTTCAAGGAACAGCTACCAACTTCATCTTCCTATCATCATCATCATCATCATCATCATCATCATCATCATCATCATCATCATCATCATCATCAAGATGTGTTAAGACAGCACCGAAGGAAGGAATGCTAGACATTAAAGTAGTCTTACTTCCATACAGTGCCTGCAGGCCGCACTGTCATCTAGTCGTCTAATTTTGTTGTTGCACGGACACGCTTAAGCTCAGGCGAAAGCATTCAGCTATTACGCTCTATTGCGTTTGTTTGTGCACAGCAAAAATATACGTGTTATGTTTTTTGAAGACTGCTCAACTGTTTGTCTTTGTGCGCTGCTGTGTTTGAGTTGGATGCTGCAACTCAACATGGTACAAACTATTCAGTGGGAGTGAGCCAGGCCAATGGGGGTAAGCGGTGCTTGCAAATCATGCTGGGCTCGACCCTCGGTTCTCTTTTGGGTGAGCGTAACAAGAAAGTCACGGCACGTTTTACGGCCAGCGTTTTGCCGTCTAGAAGCTTCAAAACATGTTTTTCCATGAACTAGTAGTGATGCCAGGAGCTCCTAGTAGCGTCCTTGCTCCTAGCAGTAAGGCCAGGAGCTACTAGTAGCGCTCTTGCTCCTAGTAGCGATGCACGAACCGTGCAACGACCCAGAAGATCCATGGCCGCCAAGGCTACGGTCGCAATGTGGAGAGGGCTCTTGCAGATCTTGGCGTCGAAGCGAAGATGCCCAGCTTGGAGGCAGTCGAAAGCACGGGTACATGACACATCGATGTCAATGCTCTTTTACAAACATGCACGGTTGGGCATACCACACCTACAAAGTGGCCAACCCCAGCTGTGCATCTATCGTGGTAAGTAGTTTTGCGAAACATGTTGTTGAAACGGTCTTGAAAATTTGGAAACATTGCAAATTCTTTATGCACAGCTTCACTTCTGGCCCTTTATGAATCTACGGATCGAAAAGCTGCGCCGGTCTGTGTGGAAGTGGAGCCAGAAGGGGTCCCAGGTTCTCACGGGGTCTTCCGCACAAGTCCCAGTTGGCTGAAATTCCGCACCAATCTGATGCGCGCGACATGAGAAATTTCGACAGAATTCTCCACGGCAAGTTCTCAAAAAGTTTGAGCTCAAAGTGCAGCAGGCCAACGCACAGACAGTGCGCAATCAGCTTGACCTTGCTTAAAGGCTTAGAGGCAAAGTTGTGCAATCCATGTTTGATTGCAAGCCCAAAAGCTAATATCTGTATGCCTTTTACAAACAAGTGGGTGCCCCAAACTACTTACAAAAAGATCTTCCCAGATGAGAAATGAAAAACAGAAAATTCGGATAAACTTGGAGGGCCGGGCAAGTACAAAGTTGTAACAACCAAGATAATACGGGTTGTAATTTCTTTCCGCACGCTAGTAGGTTGGAGGCCATTGCTTCTAGGCCACATACTTTTTACGTTTATTACTTCCACATGCTCAGGTCTTCCTGGCTCCTCCTCCTCCTCCTCGTACAGCCGCCTCCCGCCATACCAACGGACACACTCATCACACCAACTTACACCAACTCACGTACAACGAAATGGGCGTCCATGCGGCAGTTGCTTGTAAATGCGAAACCAACATCGATGCTTGGCACCGCCACAAGCAGCTCTTGAAAACATGTTTGGTTAATTGCTACTAGGAACAAAGGGCATCGCTGCTAGGAGCAACGACGCTACTAGGGGCTCCTGGCATTACTACTTTACTACTAGGAGCATTCTTGCTACGTTCGTAACAATTGCTTTCGTTCAAAGAATTGAAAGCTGCCGTGCCCCTGGGAGTTGACACCCACCCCGCAGACGTGAAATCCTTTTCAAATGTTTTTGGTCCTTGGGAGACGCTGTAGCAATGTTTTCTTATTTGTTCTTCTTTACCTTAATAGCAATGGCCTCCGACCTACTAGGGCCTCCAACCTAAGAGCGATGTGTTCTTCATTACCTTTTGGTGGCCGGAAAGTAAATTGTACCGGGTCCATCTTGCCAATGCTGCAATCGTCATGGGAACACGCTAAGCAGGCATGCCGATTTCTGTGTGACATCTTGAGCTGGCGCTAGGAGATGACGGACGGCAAGTCCAAAAAGAAGGCCAATGACGGTTAGGATTGTTCAAACAGACAATATTACGTTTATGCTGTGTTTAAATAAAAGACGTATTAGGAGCGATCGGATGCTACTAGGGGCTCCTGGCCTTACTACTAGGAGCAAAAGCGCTACTAGGGGCTCCTGGCATCGCTACGAACGGAACAATGTTTGCTATTAGTAGCTTCTTGTTACTAGTAGCGATGCACTTGTTACTACTAGCGATGTACCTGTTACTAGTAGCTTCTTGTTACTACTAGTAAGGCACTTGTTACTAGTAGCGATGCACCTGCTACTGCCATGGCTTCTAGGCTGTGGCGACGTTTGTGTTTTCGTTCACAGGATGACATCGATCCGATGGATCCCGCATCTTACAGCGACGCGTGGAACACTCATTGGACTGCAGCCATTCTTTCGACATATCGAGACGGAGTCAAACTGAATGAGCATGAATAAGCTGGATAAGCACAATGATGCACAAGAGTTGTATCGTTTTTCCGTTTTCCTTCGTGTCCGATGTCGCCTTTTTTGGGTCTAAGGCCTGTTGGAACTTGGTCAAAGGGCTTGAAGAAGTTCCTTACCTAGAGAAGTTCTGTATTCCTCAAGTTCTGCACAGCCCGATTTTCGTTCTTTAGGCCTGGGCAAAAGGCCCCCGGAGCAGCTCAGATGCGAATTAAAAACATGTTGCATGTGCCAAAAGTCGACTGACTGTAACCACAAACATACACTAGCAGCAAAGATAGACAAACCAAAACCAGAAAAATAAAGTTTTTTTGCAGACTTTATTTTTTTCCAGCTGACATCACTACTAGGTGGAGGCCTTTGGTACTAGGGTGGAGGCCGTCGCTATTAGGTTGGAGGTCATCGCTTCGGTTGGAGGCCACCATCGCAAAAAAGTTATTCTTCTTGCATACGCTTTTTCCTATGTGTTTCTTCCTTGTTTAACAACTACTAGGAAAGAAGGGGCTCCTGACCTTACTACTAGGAGCAAGAAGCTAGTAGTAGCAAAGGGCATCGCTGCTAGTAACAAGAAGCTACTAGGGGCTCCTTACTTAATGGTTTCCTCTCACGCCGAACTCACTGAGGGCGCGTCGCTGCCTCGAGATTCAAAGTCGGCGAACGCAGAGAGGCATTGGGAGAAACTGTGCGCCAACGATCAAGCAATGTGATAGGGTGTCCGTAAACGAATATAAAAGCCGAAACACTGAAACAGAAACATATTTAGCTTGCATGATTTTAGTTGAAAAGGACGTCTAGTGCTTTGGAGACCCTCACGGGGTACTTGTGTTGGAAGAATACAGGAAACTGCTTCTAGACTTTCACAGACAAACCCAGCAAGTTGTTTCTGGTAGTTGAAGCACTTCAACCAAACCCTTGCTTTGCCAAGCCATAAATAGCAACCAGAAAGTATGCAACCGAATTAAGACAAAGTTTACACCAGACCTGGTGCAAACGAGAGTAGCATGGCTGGCGTGGTTCAGGTTTTGATCCTCTTGTTCGCGGCTAAAAGGCGCTTTGCAGCAAAAAGGTGCTCGGATCATGCAGAGGTTTTGAATGAATAACTAAGAACTAGTAGGGCACTTGCTCCTAGTAGTTTCTTGTTACTACTAGTAAGGCACTTGTTACTAGAAGCGTGGCACTTGTTCCTACTAGCTTCTTGTTCCTACTAGATTTGAATGAATAACAGGGTGACCGGTGATTTTGTTTATATCAGTATGAGTTGCATGAGTTGCATTAGTTTATCCTTGGCCGCGTGACTACTCACCAAGAGACATGCCGCAAGTGTCATCGCATCACGACAAGTTTTCGTCCTTAGCAAGCTGGTTGTGTGCTGAAATTGGCACTATTGGACAGCCCAATCTATTCTAGCATTGTGTTTCGGTCCATCTTCAACTAGTAATATATAGTAACATATGATATAGAGTTCCAAAGTTGAGACCGTAATCCAGAACATGATAGTCCCATGCCAGCCCGCTTTGCGTGGAAGTCTCAGAGAGCAGAAGCATAGATTGCAATGTGTCACCTTAAAGCATAAAACGATGGCCTCCCACCTGCTAGCTTGTAGCTTAGGAGCAAGGACGCTACGAACGGGGCTCCTGGCCTTACTACTAGGAGCAAGAAGCTACTAGGAAGAAAGTGCATCGCTACTAGTAGGGTCCTTTTGCTCAGAAATGATCGAACCATTCCTTGAGCATGTTCTTTCTTTCTGCACACCCATGAAAAGTTGCAGCAAGAGCAAAGGTGTTCCCGTCTTCTAGTAGTAACAAGTGCCACGCTAGTAGTAACAAGTGCCTTACTAGTAGTAACAAGAAGCTATTAATTTAATTTAGAATTAAGATTAATTCTAATAGCTTCTTTGTTACTACTAGTAAGGCACCTGTTACTACTAGCGTGGCACTTGTTACTACTAGCTTCTTTGGTGTTCCCGTCTTCCATGTAGTTTGCATGTCTCCTTGGTTTTCCTCAAGACGAGGTGAAGCGGCGGCGCGTCATGCAACACCAGCGGGTGAAGTGAGAGGTGTTCCTGCTCATTTGGACCCTTCTTCCTAGTTCTCTTTTGTTTGTTTCTAATAGTGATGGCCTCCAACCTAATGGCGATGGCCTCCATGTCCATTTCACTTGGGGAATGCCAAGCTGGACGTTTCAGCGTAAGGCAGTTATGGCATTGGTGGCAGCACTAGCAGCCGACCTCGACAGACCCCTGAGCGCCTTTTAGCGGTAGCGATCGCATCTTGGAGGTATTTAGCTAGACAGAAGTAGACGCTACTAGGGGCAACAAGAAGCTACTAGGGGCTCCTGGCATCGCTACTAGGAGCAAGTGCATCGCTACTAGTAGCAAAGGGCATTTAAGAAATTGATGGCCTACTTGCGATGGCCTCCACCTAATAGCGTCCTTGCTACTAGTATGGGATATTGAATTTGATCTTCTTTTGAATGTTCTATTCCGTTTGTTTTGGTCTCCGAGTTGGACGTTTAATTGGCACGGTGAATTTTCAAGAATTTTCTGATTTCAATTATCTATTTATCTTATTCGTTTTGCTGATTCTCTTGGATCTCTCCAAGAGTTGGTCATAAGGCTGGTGCATGTACAACGAGGAGGACCCAGCCTCTCAGTTTCAGGTTGAGCTCTTTCAACACCTTTGGTTTGCGTAATTTTTTTTGTTGAGTGCTCTAAAAAAGAACAATCGCAGCAACATCTTCAGGAGAGCTCAACTTCCGAGATATTTGTGTCGAGCTACCAAAGATGACGAGGCTCATGTTGTCTACACACTAGTTGTAGTGAGATGGTCAGGGTCTGCACTAGAGTAGGGTCCGGTAGAGGGAGGGTGACCATCCCCCACAAAAAAGAAAGTTTTGCTCAGCTGTGCAAGTCAAAACATATGGTACGCTGCAGGTGCAGGTCAAGGACAAAGAGAAACAGGTTGGACACCAAGACTATTACGAACGTAGCGATGCCCTTTGCTCCTAATAGCTTCTTGTTACTACTAGTAAGGCACCTGTTACTACTAGTAAGGCACTTGCTCCTAATAGCTTCTTGTTACTAGTAAGGCACTTGTTACTAGTAGCGATGCACTTGTTACTAGTAGCGATGCCCTTTAGTAGTGCTTGGCACGGTATTGGCCTTATGTCCTTTGAGACCGCAGCACGTGATCGAACATGTTGTGATCTTAGAATCGCCGGCCGGATACTATTGCGGTCGTAGGTCCTTGAGTCCCCATCGCTTTCGTGTTGTAACTTCGACAAGAAGCTGCACAGATACCAAGGGTATAGGTTGGAGGCCATCGCTACTGGTAACAACTGCATTACTACTACTTCTAGCTAGTAACAAGGGCATCACTACTAGTAGCAAGATCGCAAGTAGGTTGGAGGCCATTACTATTCTGTTCTTGACGTCGCCTCGGTCTACAAAGTGGCTCAAGTGGTCCCTTGGAGGCCATCGCAATTAGGCTGGAGGCCTGAGTTGCTATGCTAGTAGCGATGCCAGGAGCCCCTAGTAGCTTCTTGTTCCTAGTAGCGATGCCCTTTGCTCCTAATAGCTTCTTGTTTCTAATAGCTTCTTGTTACTACTAGTAAGGCACTTGCTCCTAATAGCT